GGGGGGAGAGGAAGCGTCCTCCGAGAGAGCACACGGGAAGCTACACGACACTCCGAATGACGTCACTAGAAGGGGGACCAGGTGTGACCCCGAAGACTGGGAGTGAGTTGAGGGATGCCAGAAATGCCAATATTTATCTTTTTCGACAGCGAGGACACGCAGGCGAATGCGGTTTGCTGTTCTTTACATCAGAAGTGTCAGAGGGCAACTTCCACAAATTCTTGACCTAAGTCCGGAAATCGTTGCACCCCCCCCCCCCCCCCCCCCCCCCCACTTTAACTACTGTATTTCTTCAAATATAGAGCAACGTTGTTTTAGAGCGCAGCTCATAGGCGCCAAATTTCCGCGTTTAGCAGCGTCGTCGTCAGCGTCGACTTCGCCATCGGTGTAGCTGTAATGTTCGGCGAGTTCCCGGGACAGCGGGGCATTGACGAGTGCACGCAAGCTTGCCCAGTGTTCATCTGTTTTAATCTCGTGCGACATGCTCTTTATATACCAGGTGTGCAGGGGTGCCACCTGGCTGTCTATCACATTCCTCCCCCCCCCCCCCCCCTAACAAAAATGAGCCAAGGTCCCACCGATTTTCACGGTGAAAAGCGCACAGGAGGCTTTCGTGCTCGATTACTTCTCCTCGGTAGTGGAGTACCAGGACTCCTTGGTAGCGGAATGCCAGGAACAGGCTGAGTGTCGTCATGCTGGTATTCAGCTGTTACGGTTTGAGGTACCGCTTGGGCAGAATCCTCTAGTGGTACAGGCACATTCCCATTAGGAGGAGCGGCCTGATCCACCGGCTCTGGTCGCGGACCCGATGATGCCCTAGCTTGGGATAGGCCAGGACGCAGATGTCCTTCATGACGTCTCCAACACCGACCATCTGGGAGTGCGATATCTGTGATGTGGTCACTTGGAGTGTCGATCACAGTTGCCGGTACCCATGGTGGACCTTGTCGAAAATTTCTCGCATACACGGCATCACCCGGTTGGACAGTTGGTATCAGTCGAGCACCCCTGTCGTGCGCCATCTTCTGGACGAGTTATTTTTTCGATACGCTTGACCTCAGGTCCGGGTGAAGTAGAGCCAAAGCAGTCTTCAACTTGCGGCCCATCAGTAACTCCGCCGGAGTGCACCCTGTGGTTTCATGAGGTGTAGTTCTGTAGTTGAGCAGGATTCGGGCCAGCTGACATTGGAAACTTCCATCAGCTGCCTTCTTCAGCTTCAACTTTATGGTTTGAACCGCTCGCTCAGCGGCTCCATTTGACGCTGGGTGATACGGTGGTGTTAGAATCTGCCTTATTCCATTTTGTTGAAGGAAGTTCTTAAAGCTACCGCTTACAAATGCCGGCCCGTTATCGGATACGACGAGGTCTGGTAGTCCGTGACAGGCAAACATCACACGCAGGCAAGGGATCGTGGCTTCTGCCGACGGCGTGGACACAGGAACGACCTCAATCCATTTTGAGTAGGCGTCGACCACGATGAGTAGATATCGGTTCTTCATTGGTCCAGCAAAGTCGATATGAAGACGAGACCATGGCTTTTCTGGGAATGGCCATGGCATCATTGGTGCTGGTCGTGCGAGTCGCTGGTTTTCTTGACACACACGACATCGCCGCACTGTAGCCGCAATGTCTTCATCTAATGATGTCCACCATACATGACTCCTAGCCACGGCCTTCATTTTGGCGATCCCTGGATGACCTTCATGCAAGAGTCGTAGAACCTCTGGTTGTAAGGATCCTGGGATGACGACTCTTGACCCCAACAGGATACAGTTCTCTTGTACGCACAGCTGAGTTGTTCGAGGAGCGTACGGTTTTAAGTCTGGGTCATGCAGCTCAGCTCCAGACCACAAATGATCTCGAAGCTTCGACAAAATCAAGTCTTTTGAAGTGGCGTCAGCCACGACAGACGCAAGTAGTACGCGAGGATAGGCCCCCTCGAGCATAAATACCTCGGCTGGCCGCTCGATGGAACATGGAGGAACTGGCAGCGGCAGCCTACTCAAGGCATCCGCATTTGCTATGTGTGAACCAGGTCTGTACTTCAGTTTGTAGCTGTAAGCCGACAGCATCAGTGCCCAACGCAGCACCCGTGGCGAACAGGTCTCAGGTACAGGCTTGTCCGCAGCAAGCAGCCCCAGCAAGGGCTTGTGGTCTGTGACCGCTTCGGAGTCACGGCCCCACAGGTATTGCCGGAACTTAGTCACACCAAATATCAGAGCCAGGGCTTCCTTGTCAAGCTGACTGTAGTTGCGCTCAGCCGGCAGAAGACCTCTAGATGCAAACGCAATTGGTTTCTCAGCACCTGTATCTTCTCGGTGAGCAAGGACAGCCCCTATTCCGTACGGCGACGCATCGCAGATAAGCACCACTGCTTTCTTCGGGTCATAATGCGCCAATACCGCGGCAGACAGCAGTAACTCCTTGCTCTGACGAAAAGCCTGTTCCTGGTCCGCACCCCAAGTCCAAGGCGTCTTTGCCCCCAGAAGATGGTTTAACGGATGTAGAACGCTGGACAAGTTAGGCAGGAACCGACGATAGAAACTGACCAGTCCCAGGTAGCTCTGCAGCGTTTTTACACCGGTAGGCCTTGGAGCTTTCAGTACTGCGTCAGTCTTTTCTGGGTTTGGTTGGAATCCCGCAGAGCTAACGACATGACCCAAGTATTTAATCTGGGGAACCAAGAAATCGCACTTGCACAGCTTCAGCTTCAGCCCAGCTTGCTGCAGCCGACTCAGCACTTGGTTCAGGTTTTCCAGGTGGTCTTGATCGTTTCGCCCTGTCACGAGAATGTCGTCGAAATATACAACGACGTGCTTAAGTCCTTGCAATAGGTTCTCCATCTCTCGTTGAAAGATCGATAGTGCAGAGGTCACACCGAACGGCAGGCGAGTGTACTGGTACAGACCTCGTGGAGTGTTGATGGTAACCAGTTGTGACGACTTCTCATCAAGTTTAACTTGTAGGTATGCATCTTTTAAGTCCAACTTGCTGAATTTCTCGCCTCCGCTCAGCTTAGCAAACAGGTCCTCCACTCGCGGGATGGGGTGCTTTGCAGGTACAGTCACAGGATTCACAGTGACTTTGAAGTCTCCACAGATGCGAATCTGCCCATTTTGTTTCAGGACCGGTACAATAGGGGCAGCCCATTCCGAAGTCTACACTGGACGTAGGACTCCCTCCCGTTCCATGCGTTGCAACTCCTCGTTGACTTTGTCAAGCATCGCAAATGGAACTGAACGAGGCTTGAAAAACCTTGGTTTGGCGTTGTCCTGAAGATTTATCTTTGCGGCCACCCCCTTGAAAGTTCCCAGACCTTCATCAAAGATACTGGAGTATTCAGCAACGAGCTTCGCAACAAAAGTCACGAAGTTGACATCCTTCACGTTGGAAAGCTTGATGCCAAGGCCTTTCATCCAGCCACGTCCTAGCAGAGATGGGCAGGTGCCAGGGACAACATACAGGATGTCCTGACATTCGCGGTTTCCAAGTCTCACCGTTGCAGTAAGGTTTCCCTGAACCGGGGAAAGTTCACCTGAATAGCTTTTCAGCATGATGCGCGACGGGTCCAGCTGCCTTGATGGAAATTCGCGTCGAAATGTCTCCTCAGACACAACAGACACGCTAGCTCCCGTGTCAAGTTCCATCAGCAATGGAGTCCCGTTCACCGTAACTTCCACTCGGAAAGGTTGGCCGTCGACTGCAGAAGATGTCATTTCCCACATCTCGTAGACTTCTGGCAGTGAGACATCTTGTGACTGGCCCGCTCCGTCCAAGGTGTGGACCGATCTCGGTATTCTAGTGGACGTCGTCGGGCCGCCGGCGGTTGCATCCGCTGTCTTCCCCTTGCACACTCGTGCCAGATGCCCCTTTCCCCGACACTTGTGACAAGTGGTACTTGCATGACGGCACTGTGTGGCGTAATGCCCGCCTCCGCAACGAAAACACGAGATGGTGCCAGTCTTCCACTTCGGGTTCACAGCTGCATCGCGTGACACTGTGTTAGCTGACGCGAGGTTTGGCTGGATAGACGTCGATAGCATCTGCGAATCTTTCTTCGCTGCTTCCATTGCAACGACCGTCTTTTTTGCGAGGTCAAGGGTCAAATCTGGAATCTCTAGGAGTCGCCTTTGTATCATCTCGTCGTTAATACCTCCGACGATGCGGTCTCGCAGCATTCTATTTCGGAACGCGCCGAATCCGCAATCATCCGCCAGCTTGTTCAGACAAGCAAAGAAATCCGCCGCTGTCTCACCGTCATGACGCATCCGTGAATTGAACTTAAAGCTTGCGACGACTTCCGAAGGCTTCGGTGAGAAATGCTCGCCTTTTCTCATCCCTGACATCGTTGGCGATGAAGTACTGTTCAACCCGCTCCCGGTACTCGCTCCAGTTCGTTTCAGTGTCAAACGGCTCTAGTTTGCCGACCACCGGCATTCCAGAACAGGCGCACGGTCCGACGGCAGCAGTTCAACACTTCCACTTCCTCGTCGCCACTGTAATGTTCGGCGAGTTCCCGGGACAGCGGGGCATTGACGAGTGCACGCAAGCTTGCCCGGTGTTCATCTGTTTTAATCTCGTGCGACATGCTCTTTATATACCAGGTGTGCAGGGGCGCCACCTGGCTGTCTATCACAGTAACCGCCCCGCTAAATTTAGCGAGAAACTGAATTGGTATTGAGGTCACGTGACGTCAATTTTCCCATTAAAAATAGCGAAGAAACTGAATTTGCTCATGGGTGACGCGACCCAAAATCATGTGACGGCATCTTCCCCGCTAAATTCAGCGGGGACACTGAATTGGTTTTGAGGTCACGTGATGTCAATTTCCCCGCTAAATTTAGCGGAGAAACTTAACCCGCTAAAATTAGCAGGGAACTTTTGCCGCTAAATTTATCAGGAAATGTTTCCCCGTTAAGTTTATGGGGTTAGGGAGGAGAAGGGGAGGGTACGAAAAGGCATACTCTCCCCTCCTCCTCCTCAAGAGCTGCACTCTAATTTCGCATTACAAAGATTTGTAAACGTCTCTTTTTGTCTGTTTTGGCAGTTTTTTAAAGTCGGAGGTCAACCCGTAATCAAGACCCAAGGAGGTAGTCCTACTATCTATAATAGTACTGAATTTCCGAGTCAATACCGCCAACCCAGGCACTCCGCCGTGTCAGCCGCTGCTCCTAGCACTCTGGTGTAAAGCGGTGAAGCTAGGCGCGCGCTCCGGTGCGAGGCGGTAAAGGCTTGCGCGATCGGTGGCCAGGGCACGGAGGCATGTGAAAGACACAATAGGGAGTTTTAGAATAGCGCACGCTAAAGCTTTGCGGACGCAAAGAATAGCGTCGTCGCCACTGCGCATGCTCCGAACGCAAACCAGGTTTTGCGCTTTGCGTGCGCAATTTTAGCGCGCGCTATTTCTCGGAAATAGCGTGCGTACGCAAAGAGTCTTTACGCTTCTCTAAGGAGGATTCGTGATGAGAAGTTGGCTACAGCCAAGACGAGCACAGTTAAAAAAAATGGCGGCTTCCAGGATTATGTCGGCGACTGTTTTGGCGGCGTCGTGAGTTCGACGTCGGCGGCATCCTCGCGACTGCAATTTTGAATACGGGACGACATTGTACTCGGTTTGGCAGCGATCACCGGCAACTTCATGCTTGCGACGCGCGAACATTTCACGGCGAACGAACGATGTGCGAAGGTCAGTACACGAGACCTCTCTTGCCGAGGCGACGCAAGCGGACACGACCGGTCAACCGCTCGCGTCGCGTTCTCATGCTTAAACAAATTAAAATGCTACTCTGGACCAAAAAACTCGTTTTTTTCTTCTAAAGTTACACCATTTCGTGTGTGAAATAAAACTTTTTACTGTATCTTGGTGGCGTCGCAAGCGCGAGATGCTTGGGCTTTTTCGTCGCGGCGGAGAAACGCTATTCTAAAACTCTCCTGCGTCGCGTGCGCTAATACAAGCGCTAAATTTAGCGCTAGCGTGCGCTAAAATTGCGTACGTTATTCTAAAACTCCCTAATGATTGAGTGACCTCACCAGCAGGAGTACAAGATCCTGGTTCTTCCTCATCACAGTATCTGCCATCCTACCATATCGCAAAATGTTCTCGCAACTGATGGCTCCCGACGTCACTGACATCGTCTGGGAATTTAGACGACGCCGGCAATCAACAGAGGCAGCGCACCAAATCTTCGCGTCATTTCAAGCCAAAGCGCAGCCGACGCCACGAGCCACCAATTAAACAGCACCAAAACACGACGTCGTGGCGTTCCTAATCTCCCTATACATGTTCTTAGAATTAGACTAATCAAGTGCAGCAAATGTTCCATGAGTTGCGCTCTAGCACGAGTCTTTGCGGTTGTATTACCGTATTTACTCGCATAATGAACGTACTCGCATAATGAACGCATCCCCCACAACGGGCATCAATATTTTGACTTTTTTAGAGCGCAGCTCTTAGGTGCCCATTTCCGGCTTGAGCGGCGTCGGCGTCGCCGTAACCGTAAGGTCACGGGGGTCACGTGACCTCGGAGGGGGTGGGGGTCACATGACCTTATGGAGGTCACGTGGCCTCGTGACCTTACGGGGGTCACGTGACCTCATGGAGGACACAGGTGTCCATCCTCCTCAAGAGCTGCGCTTTAATTCGGCGTTACAGGGAGTTCCAAACGGCTTTCATTTCTTTCTCGCGTAATTAACGCACTAATAATTTTCGGCTCCGCGAGTCTTCAACTGTGTCAAACTTAGCCGGCCAGCTACCAAGCCCGCCAATTTTCTTTTGCTGCCAAGCGGCCAGGCCAAGTCCAGCCAAGCCATGCCGCTCTCGTAATGGCTGCAATTGCGTGGTTGCGGAAGTGATCAACCGTGGAACCGAGCGGCGTGCACGCCTAGCGAAGCTGGGGTCGAGGAATTGCCCAGCCCCGGACGTGCTTCGTCCATCAGATGCATTGATGTCAACAAACACGCCGTTGTCTGTGTTCCACATTCAGACAGTGATATTCTGAAAGTGGTTAGGCCTAAGAATGGTCGCGTCGCCCTCCGTGCCGAGTAAGCTTCGTAGGGAGCTTTCTCTTCGGAAAAAGGCATGTCAAAAGCACCCTAGAAAAGGTTCGCAATTTATAGACCATTCCATTTAGCGCTCTCTGGGCGGCACCATTTTGTTCGACCGCAGCGCCCCCTCCACACATCCGGGAAGTTCAGCGGGTTCGGCGGGGCAAAACGAGAGGGCACGCGCCCAACTCCGCTAGCAGACGACAAACCGGGAAGTTGCCGTTCTCCATCTTTGGGCTGTATCGGCGGGCTCTACCGAACATTGAACCCTCGCTCGTGGCTGCCGTTGTGAAGTGGTTCGAGTTCTTAGAATAGTTGTGGCTACTCCAAAATCAGCCTATAGCTCTCTGTTGTTCTACTTTGCTAAATGATCAACTAGCATATATTTTTTCTGTTACTTAAATAGCAGTTAAGTCAGCCGGCAGTACTACCCTCAACTACTGCTTGTATTGCGGTAGGAGAGCACGTTTTATTTATTATTTCAGATTTCCACTCATGGTCGCTAAAGGCCTACATCAGTACGAACTATTGTATAGTAAAAAAGGTACAGCAGCTGGATTTACTTTTCGCCAAAGAGACCGGCCAATCTGACACAGTTTTCCCTACTTTTTTTATTTGCACGCAGGTAACAGCGCAATTGGACCCTGTGAGTCTTTTTTATCTAGCATAGTAATACACGACAACAGGCATACCAAAATCTGCGCATCTGCGCTTGAAAGTTCCAAAATGACGCGATTTTAAACAGTTTGCACGCCAGCCGGACGCTAGCTACAGCCCACTCGGCGGAGCGGACGACATGCGGGGTGAGAGGGGGAGTGCATTTTTTTCTTTTTTACCCTCTCTGCTATGACCCTAATGGAACGTGGTTACTGTGGCACGCCCATGACCAGCCATGGGTGCGTTTGCGTCAGCGGAGACGTGCCGCAGTACACTGCCATGTCATATTTGCACCTAAAATGAGATTTGCAGTGTGCAAAGCAGGGTGTAAGATAGACAGGTGGGGAAACGAGAGCCAAATGAGCGACCGGATTGTGTCCCCCTCGGTTTTCTCTTTTTCTGTGGTGCCATCTATGTGGAGCACCGCGAACTCTCACTCCGTGTGGCCGACCGGTGGCGACCGGCTAAACTGACGGAGATGGTTTCTCGTGGATTTTCAATGGAGGACTGTCGTGCTCTCGGTCTATTTTGCGCACTCTCCCATGGAGTTCCACGCAAATCCGATTCCGACTTTTTTTCTCTCGCCGCAGCGCCATCTGTTGCAAACAGGGGGTACCCGCAAGCAGACGAGTACACAATCCGGTCACGGCGCTGCGGTAGGCTACTATGGGCCGCTTCCCCACCTGTCTATCTTACACCCTGGTGTAAAGGCAAAAATTTTACCCCACGTAATGAACCCCCCCCCCCCCCCCCCCAAATATGTGTAAATTTTTCGGAAAAAAAAGTGTGTTCCTTATGCAAGTAAATGTGGTATGTTCGAGACCTTCAACTCAGCTCTGACCTAAGATGGGACAGACTATAGACAGTTTTAATGAAAGAGGGCAAGAGAGAAGATAGGAAAGGGCTACCGGTGCTTTCCCCCTAGCTGGTGCCTTAGAAAGAGTAAAAGTTCCGGATAAGAGGCTTCGCCGATGTTGGGCGCACGCACTGCCTGAACTTGGTTTGCGCTTTTTTCTCCGTTTTAAACTCCCAAACTAAATTAGAGCCACGGGCTTCGATGGCGACAGTCCCCCGCTCATCGGGGCACCATTGCTCGATTATAGGGTGCACAAATAACAACAGGAAGCGTTGAATACGTCGTGTCTGAGACAATCTATGTAAGGATTATAAAGGATTACTTCCTGTCGTTAGCAATGCACTGTCGTGTTTTGTTGCACGTGTCACGGGTGGTGACCAATGAATAATAAATAAACAGAAAGAAATAAACGTTTAATGTGGCGAACTTGTGCCAAAAATAAAAGGGTACAAAAGATAACAACGGAGCGTCGCGGGCGTCGAAGTCGGCGTAGCAGCAGAGTCGAACGCTGGG